TTTGTTGGATGCATGTCATAGTATGATGAGTCAAGTATACATTTATATAGTTTCGTAATCTTCCAATGGCCCTCTGAGGCAAACTAAAAGTGCAATGAGACCGTGGGGGGGCGAGGAGGGGTTTCTTCATCGTCAACTCAACCTATTGATTAGCGCTTCTTCAGAGGGTCGTTCCTAGTATTACCAGCAGATGGCATCAAATTGGGCTTGCAGTATCTGAGCCAGAAAGGTGGATTAAATGTTTTTTATTACGGTATACTGTTTTGGTCAGCTGTGTTTATTTTGTTTCCATGCACACAGGATGAAGGGTATATGAAAATGTGAATGTTGTAAATTAAAAAAGGAAAGAAAATGGCTAAAAACAATAGCTTGTAAACATTTTGATTGAAAAAAAACTTTAATTGACTTCAATTGTGAAAAGAGATAAAAACAAATGTGAGTTTTTGAATCCTTTGCTGCCATATTTTCCCCTGACAATGAATTCTGCATCTTAGGAAAAGAGGCCGTCTGTATCATCAATGTGAAAAATATCCAGGCAGTGGAGAAACTTGACGAAAGTGCCTTCAACCGTAAAAATGTAAGCGGGTTCCCCTCCGACGTCAAAGGATTGTTATGGCTTCTTATTTGCTTAACAAGTGACTGTTGCTCAGAAAGGCAAATTATTATTATTTTTATTTTTTTATTTTTATTTTACCAATGTGACTTCAGAATAGAAATGTATCTGGTGTGTCAGATGTTTCAGGTAGTTCATGCAGAGAAGCAGCTGTACGTGCAGGCAAGAAATTGTGTGGAAGCCTGTGAGTGGCTGGATGTCCTGGGCCAGGTCAGTCGCTGTAATGAGGGCCGTTTGGCCAATTTTCATCCATCCACCTACAGCGGCGGCTCCTGGCAGTGCTGTAAAAGCCAAAGTAGCAGCTCGCCAGGCTGTAAACCCTGCACCATGTGAGTCTTTCTCCACATCACCAAAAAGTCAACGGATCGACCCACTCTTGCCTAGCTATGTTTTGTTGTTTACACCAGTTAGATCAAGACAAACACTCAGGAAAAATGTTCATGAGTGTGTGAATTTCTTTGAATTATTTTGGGCGAGAAAGAAGGAAAAGGTTAATTCGATCTTTGTTTTGAGACGTCAAAGAGAAAAATGGCCACAGCTTTTGTTCCTATGATGGCAGATGTGTTTCATGTTTTAAAGTGTCTCTGCATGAGCCATGCCCTGCTAATTGTCTTCCACTCGCACATCACCACTGCCTTATTCTTCTCAACAAATTTCGGTAGAGCTGTTGTCTCTCAGCTTGGCGCTCCCATCATCACGTCTCTCTCATCTTGTCCTCTACTCTTTCAGTACCATGCAGGCCAACCTGCAGCTGGACATCGACTGTGATCGGGAAACAGAAAGGATTTTCTCTCTCCTCTCTGCTAATGACACCAACCTGCAGAACATGGAGGGTTAGTGTCTAATCTTCCAAAAAAATCAATTCACTCTTCCTGGAGTACTGAGACGCCATCAGGGACTATATTCTCTGTAAAAATGCAGGGACGTTGGTTGGGATCAGAGGTTATAATGAGAAAAAGAAAAACTTCACATTCTCAGGGGCTGTACAAGTATAAAAAGCACAATGAAAAACATTAAAACACTCTCGGAGAGTTGGTGCATGTGCGAATTGCTTGACTTTCAATTTTAAAAGCAAAAACTCAAGCTTTTCACGTCCAATGAATACCTCTAAATGTTACAAAGATAGTGGTGACATGCCAGAGGTTAAAAATAAACAGCTAAGTTTACCCCAAACTGCATAAACTAATGTACATTTCAGAACGATGCTAAAAGGCCTTTTTACAATGAACAAGACACGCGGTGAATCATTCAAAGCCCTTCTGCAGCATTAGAAGTTGATGTCATAGTTCATAGTGACAGACCATCATGACCTTCAAAAACGTGAGTTTCTCCTTCAGAGAAATTGTAAATAAAGCCAAAAACAAAACAAAAAAAGATGAATCAAAACTGGAAATCTTTGGTTCATCACACAGGATTTTTTTTTACATTCTGTAACATTGTGTGTAATCTTCTTAGATGCGTGTGCCAGTTTGGCAGTATACCAGGGCCCCCAGCGAGAGCAGGAGGAATACTCCAAGTTTACCATTCAGGAACCCAAAGAGACCTTTCAGACGCTCAAACAGCTCCGAAACATCATGGTGGAGCTTCAGCGGCAACATGAGATGCGAAATGACACCACGGCGCAGTACGGCAGTTTGTGAGTATCCGCCGCCTGACTGTTCCCTCTTCCAAAAAAAAAAAAAAAAAAAAAACAACTCTTCTTAGACTATACTGTTTGTTTTTCAGGGACAACCCAATCGTGGGAAAAACCTCCTAGACGGGGCCAGGCCTTTACACCAGCGAGAAGATGCCAGTGACACAAGTGAATGTTCTTCGGGAGTCCCAATGAAGGAAGCCAACACTTGTCCCGAAGAAGAAGAAGAAGCTTTCACTCTGTCAGCCTTGCAGCTTTGACATCCTAAACCCAGGAAGTTAACTTGTTCATTCCTCCGAGCAGAACTAGATGGACCCACTTTTTGATTTTTACTGTCTTCATGCCATATGTCATACCCCCCCGCCCCCACCCTCGCCTTGTAGTTCTTTTATAAAGAGCTGCCTTCATAGTTCATGTCCACAGCTGTGTGAGTAGGCTGCTATTTTAATTTGTATTCACTCAGTTTTAGAAGAATGGCTGTGAGGATGGACCATCCTAAACACTATGATGGAAAAAGCCAATCTGCCTTTCTTTGGATGTTCTTTCGCATGACATGCTGAGGGAGTAAATAATGCAAAAGCACTTTAAATATTTCTCCAAATGAGAAACCAATTACTAGATACTTCGTGTATCAGAGTTCCCCATTTTGATCAGTTACATGATCCCGATTTTGTTTTCAACTCTGTATAGTAACATTTCTAGCTGGTTGATTTTATATATATTTTATTCTTGACCAAAGACAATTTCATAGCTTTGACTTGAAAAACAAAATTAATGTATTTTGAATACAACTATTTTGAAAGTGGAACGAAATGTAATATCTATATATTTGTTTAATATGTATGTTTTAATAACATATGCTTTACTTTTTCATGACCTGTGGCAGGCAGATTGCATGGATATGATTTTTTTTTTTTTTTTTTTACCTGTTTGTGGCTCATATTGGTACGAGAGCACAAGTACATCTCAACAGGTGACTACACATGATGAAGGAAATCAAACTATTTATGAACATGACCGCAGAAGATCTCAGTAATGAACGCATTTCTTTTGGGCACCACTAGAAGAATCTGTTCACGGCACTGCTACAAATTGACTGCCACAACAGACAAAAATCCACAAAGGCAAACAAATGCCAAGCAACCAAATCGTGATATTTAAAAGCACATCATTTTTCTAAACCAAAAGGCTCAACTTATAGATATCTTTTTATACAGCATTCTTCTAATACAATTTGTGTGAGCAGCATCAGTGAGCCATTCCATCATATTCTCTTTTGGCCTAGGTTTATTGAAAATCACCTTTCTTGGTGGTGGTCTGTCATTTCTTTCTAATATGTCTTTGACATTTAATGCAAAAAAAAAACTGATATTTTATGTCACCCACTCCCCCTTTTTTATGCTATTGATGTTCTGCTAGTACAACACCTTCTCAACTCTTTTTGCAGGCTGTGTTTTCCAGATTTAAAGAGAAAACCTGACTATTGAGACCGTAACATTTCAATCTCAGCCACTCTGTATTGATGCACATTGACGCTTCTGTAGTTTTAAGAAGGGACCGTTATCTAGTGGCCGGTCTCCTTGTGTGCGATAGTGAAACGTGAAATTGTGCATTTCTGTTGTGTTCCCGTAAGTCCATATTAGGTACACTATGATTTGATTAAAATAACGTGCCTGTCACTTTCCTCTTAAGGTCAGTCCGTGGATGAAAATATAGCAGCTGTCATTTTTGCCATGTGCATAAGAATATTAAAAGGGAAAAAAACTATAAACTGCCAAAATACATCCAGATGGCAGTTAACGTCCATATCTGTTGTGTTTTGTGTTCCAGAGAGACAAAACAAGGTCCTCTTGCATTTGTGACAGAACCAAAAAAAATAATAATTTTAAAGCACGTTGCTGTGATTTGAAAGAATACTGCTATTAAATACGTTAATTTTTTTCTGTGCCATTTGGCGTTTGTTGGGATGTAGGTCACTTCTCAAGGTACAGGACGTTGCTTCTGAATGTCTCCATAAATGTCCTTTTTACACACAAATGTTTTATTTTCTATACTTGGTCTTTTTGTGTCAGTTTAAACAAATGTACAATAAACATTATGCCAAAGCCTCTCTTGCTTGTGGAACTTTCCCGGATGCGCATCTACAATGTTGTCATGGTTTGTGATGAGCTTGTATAATTCTTTCCGTTCATCTGTAATTTCTCATTACGAGGGCTACGTGGGAGGGTTTGATTCCATGTGAATTGAAAAAAAACCTTGGAACAAAGAATTAATAGTTGTCGGGTTACCCTATTGTGTCAAAGTAATGGAGAGGCAATTGAGGTTCAATGTGGTTAATTGTTGGTAAGCACTGGTTAGTAAATTGATCAAGTGAACGCGCTTTCATGTTAAATGGATATTTTCTTAGGCATCCCTTAGAAGTACTGATACTTTGTTAAATAGTGACCACAAAATATTCATACCAATACAATTTTATTAAGTTTCCGTATATTATGAGACGCGGGCCACTTCCAAATTTATAAAGCGTTTCAACTAAATTTGAAATGCTTTAAAGCTTTTCAAACTTACAACATAAAAAAATAATACATACCACTTTTTTTTTTTTTTTTAATAATGCATACCACATATTCACACGTACATTCACAGACATACGTACATAAACACACACACGTATACAGTATTCAATTGGCGGACGCGCTGACACATTCGTTTTACACCGTAGCGCCCCCTAATGTTGTTGAAGGTTACAAGCAGTTGGACCTTCGCCTTTTCGTCCATTTTGGGTGTCCAAGCTAAGCCTGTTAAGCTAACTGCTGTGTGGAGCTGCAGACATGGATGACGGCGACGAGCTCGGAATAGTTCTCTCCCACAACACATCCTCTGGTTCCAAGTCGGGTGGTGACAAGATGTTTTCTCTAAAAAAGTGGAACGCCGTTGCGATGTGGAGTTGGGATGTCGAATGTGATACTTGCGCCATTTGCCGGGTGCAAGTGATGGGTGAGCGTGTCGACGCTAGTTTTGTTAAACTAGCTGCTCTGTATCGAAACGCCGGTCGTTTACGGCAAATGTAAACGCAGTTTCTCCGTTTACAGATGCATGTCTCCGATGCCAGGCGGAAAACAAGCAAGAGGACTGTGTTGGTAAGCTAATGTCAGTTGCAAAACACACATGCTAATGTTTAGTCGTTTCACAGCTATCGCGAAGAAGTCCAATGGAAGCTAGAACAGTTGAAGAGCATATTAGCTACAGGGAAACACACATGCTAATGTTTAGTCGTTTCACAGCTAGAGCATATTAGCTACAGGAATTTACGCTCCCAACATACGACAGTTCGACTTTACGAACAGCACGCCTCATAAAACCTTGTCCCGCAAGGTTCTGTGCTTGGTCCTCTTCTCTTCATCCACGACCTTCTACCCCTCGGCCAAATCATTCGTCATCATTGTCTGCAGTTCCACTGCTACGCTGATGATGTCCAATTTACATCTCCACCAAATTGTTCACCCCAACAACCCACTCCACTCTATGCAAACAAACTTCCTCATTCTTAACTGCACTAAATCTCAACTGCTAATAATCGGTCCTAGCTCCCTCACCCAACAGCCTCCAACTTTGACCTCACTATCGACAACTCCACCCTGTTGCCCTCTTCTCACTGTTGTAACCTTGGTGTCCTTTTTGATCATAATCTCTTTCGACCAGCACATCACCCAAATCACCAAAACTGCTTTCTTCCGCCTTAAAAACATTTTCACCCACACCTTCACCGTGATCACATCATGGAAAATAAATAATGAGAGCGACGGATAATATCTCAAAATACTTGTAAGTCAGGTCACTCATCATAACAAGATACCACTGTCGACTCTTACATTTTCTTTTCAAATACTTTGTCTCTTGCCTTACTGCTTAGCTTAATATACAACCTTTTCCCATGTTTTGCAGTTGTTTGGGGAGAGTGTAACCATTCCTTCCATAACTGCTGCATGTCCCTTTGGGTGAAGCAGAACAATCGGTGCCCCCTCTGCCAGCAAGACTGGGTGGTTCAGAGAATCGGCAAGTAAGGCCAGCACCTTCGCGACGTGATTCACAGACTTCAGCTGCACGCACCCGAGGGTGGACAGATCTGGCCATGATCATTGCGACGCCCCATGTAGAGCCGCTGTCTACATCTTGCCTCGGCAATTTGAGTGCATGTTCCAGTCCTCCCAGTGTCAGAGGCGGGCAATGAACTAAGTACCAAGTGGATGCCACACACACTCTCACTCGTGGCTTATGATTGATGTGCAAGGATGAAGAAAGAGGTTGACACTTTACAGTGGGCAGTCACTTGTTAGCTTTTGAGTTTTTGTGTGTGTGTGTGTCTGTGGGGGGGGGGGGGTTGACACATGTCAAATATGTGACTATAATTTTTAGGAATAAAAAATGATATATGTCTGTAAATTGATGTATTTTGCTTCTTTTTAGTGCAGTTTGGGATGATTTCAATAGTATCAATATTGTATTACCCATTTTAAACCTGTATAAGTATTGTTAATATACCATAAAATACGTTAACAACACAACTGGAAGAATAACCAAATATCGAGTGCAATCTAGAAAAAAAAAAGAAGTACATTGCCATGTTAGTATGCTTTCTTATGAATATAATTGCATTTTTTTTTTTTTTGCCCCAAATTCACAGTCACTGCATTGACTTGAATACTTGGAACGTCGACTTAGTGGCTCGTCAGACCACCGTTCCTTCCTCTATATGTGCCTTTGAAGTCGTGTGCCGCCTGGAGCGTGGATGGACACCAAGAAAAATCGGGGGCCCACTTGTGTTCACGAAACATGATTAAAATCAATTCAACATGCTTCACAGTTGAACATTAAATTGTTCATTAAAACGCATTAATGCACGTTTTGATTGACACGGTTAAAGAGATACTTAGATGATTGTGTAAGTGGTCATTATGCGGCTGGGCGGCGTACACTCCTTGAAATCTATTGACGGACTTCATAATTCGAACTTGCAGTTGACACTTATTACCTATGACGTGAGGTGGCAGCACACTTACTGGACACAGGCACTTTGCAGCTCCTAAAAATAGGCCCGACTAAAGCCTCTTAAGTTCAAAGCACCTAAGGTGCTTTCCCTCGGGGCCAGCAAATCCCTGAAGATAGTGGCACTTTTAATGCCTTAAGAGGTGTGTCAGGACCGGAGGGATGCTTGCAGGTGTTCACGGCTGCTGTTCGGATAGTCGGACCATGTAGAGGATAGTAGTAGGGCCCCACAGATTACAGTTGGGGCCACCGGTATGAGTGACCTGCTGGTGAAGGAACTGGTGGCCAACACAGCCTACCTCAGGGCTCAGCGGCAGGACCGCAACGAGCTACGAAAGGAGAGACTCTCCCTGACTCTGCCCCTGCCAAAGAGCTCCGCAACTCTGCAGGAAGCAGAAGGGAAGCAGTACGAGTCACTTTGCGAGCAGCAGCCCATTGGCAGGGAGTTATTCCGGCAGTTTCTCCTCAGTTGTAACCCGCAGTATGCAGCCGCCATCGAGTTCCTGGACGAGCTGAGAGGATGGAGCTCTGCTGTAGATGACGACCAAGAAAAGGCCAGGCAGAACCTCGTCGATAAGTTCTGTCACTCTGAGTCCAGGAGTTTTCTGTCTTTTCTCAAAGGAGACTCAGTGGAAACAGGCAAGTGCTTCTCAAACATTTTGGATGAGTCCTCGGTGAACCAGATGAGAGAAGCCACAAGAGACTTCCTGCGAGGAAAACCTTTCTCGGAGTTCCTGAGGAGCCCGTTCTTTTTCAGGTTTCTGCAGTGGAAGGAGTATGAGAGACAGAAGATTAGTGATAAATACTTTCGCGAGTTTCGGACGTTAGGGAAAGGCGGTTTTGGTGAGGTAGGTGTCAAAAGCAACACCTGGTAGACACTAGCGATAAAAACAACAGATTGTGGTATAAAACGATTGTGTATTGCAGGTGTGCGCAGTCCAGGTGAGGACTACAGGACAAATGTACGCCTGCAAGAAGTTGGATAAGAGACGCTTGAAGAAGAAAGGTGGCGAGAGGTTGGCCCTTCAGGAGAAGAGGATCCTGGCAAAGGTGAACAATCTTTTCATTGTGAACCTGGCCTACGCCTATGAAAACAACACCCACTTGTGCCTGGTCATGGACCTGATGAATGGAGGAGACCTCAGGTTCCACATCTACGACCTCGGAGAGCGCGGTATCCGTATGAACCGCGTGGTTTACTACGCAGCCCAGATGACCATGGGCCTCCTTCACCTGCACTCCTTGAACATCGTCTATCGCGACTTGAAGCCGGAGAACGTGCTGCTGGACGCCTGCGGCCATTGCAGACTATCAGACCTCGGACTGGCTGTCGAGCTGCCAAATGGGAAAACGATCTGCCAAAAGGTCAGCTGGCTGCCTCTTCCTTGCTTGACCTGCATTTTGAAACTCTTTACACTGCATTCAGCAAAGCCTAATAAGAGTACAGTCGATGTGTTTTGGTGAAGCTGAGAGTGTTGGTTTTGTATCCTTGTGTTGATCCAAAACAATAAACATTAGTGTAAAGGGACCAGGAAAAATGTATTTATAACGAGTGCCCATTCTGCATTTTGGACTCTGCAAATGTGAACATTTGCAAAGAGAAGCGGACGTCGTGTCTCTGCGAACACTGAAAACACGACATGCATCTGAACTCATTCAAACCCTTTGACGTCTAAAAGCGTCAATTAACGCATAGTCCCCGCCTCCCCATGACGTCTAAAGGCGTCAATCATGTTTTTTCGTGGGGAAGGGTGCAAGAGAGTCTGATGCAACTTCTCACTGAAGGAGCAGGCTTGACTGCAACGTTAAATAGTAAAAGAAAAAATGGCCAGCAGGTGGCAGTGGTGCAAAAGTCCACCAGTCGTTTGAAATGTATGATTTTACAAAAAGGATTTCTGAAGAAAATCGGCCTTTTCCATAAAACGTAGCAATTTTCTAATGCTGATTGCCAATGAACGGAGAAGGATAGAAACAAACTTTTTTTTTCTGCTGAAAGAAAAGAGTCTCACCTTTCTTCTGACATGTTCATATAGCCGTACAACAGAAAATTCTGTGGGCCTTGCAAATCAGTCAAAATTCAGTAAAATGTGAGGGTTGAGGGAGTTGCTCCAGCGGAAAAGGGTGGTATTCAAATTAATATTCCCGTTCCGTGTCGGAATGCATGAGGTGAGTCACAGCCGAAACAACGATAATTAACCACGACGACAGAGTCGCTTTCTGCTCTTGCGTTTAACATTTCAGCAAAATGGTTGAACCTGACACGCCTCCTGCGTCACCCGACTGCGAGTTAGTTGCGGTCCCACAACAAAGGGGTGCAATGGTTGCAGGGCTATAATTATTGGGCTTGAAATGACACTCTGGAGCTGTAAAAATCGAGTGGAAGGGTGCAAAAAAAAAAAAAAAAGCCTTTTTGGGGAACACCTTCTTGAAAAGCTACTACCGCATTTTCTTTCTGAGAGTGTGCTAATACCAGTTTTCATCCTGTGTGTTCATCCCCGAGTGCAAAGGGTTTACTAGAAATAGATACAGTACTGCATATGAATGCTTCTTAGTCCAACGCTGACAGACAAGCACCATGGAACACTCTTCATGACGCAAATGAATCCTATTAAAAAATGCCTGACTTTTGAGTCACTGTCGGTGTCAGCACTGGCTGGAAAAATTTTTCAAATAATGAGAGTCTCTTACCATGAAGTGTTAAATGTTAGCTTTGCTCATGATGTGTACAGTACGGCAATGCTCCACCTCGTAATATCTCCTCTGTGTGTGTGTGTGTGTGTGTGTGTGTGTGTGTGTGTGTGTGTGTGTGTGTGTGTGTGTGTGTGTGTGGCTGGCTGACTGTTTGTTTGTTCAGGCGGGCACAACTGGTTACATGGCCCCCGAGATGCTGACCCAGCAGTACTACAGCACATCGGTGGACTGGTGGGCGCTGGGCTGCTGCATCTACGAGATGGTGGCTGCTCGCTTGCCTTTTCGAGACTTCCGCGAAAAGGTGCTGAAGAGCGAGGTGACCCGCCGCACGCTCGAAGACCTGTGCAAGTTTCATCACAAGGGATTCGACCCCACGACCAAAGACGTCATCTGTTGCCTCCTTAAGAAAAAAGTAGCACATCGCCTTGGGTGCCAGTAAGTACAAAGCATTGGCCGTAGTCGTGGTTTTGCCATGAATCTAACGTCAATGCAAGAAGGTTGCCAAAATGTTAAAAACTCCTCCAAAATGTTAAAAACTCCTCTTATTTCTCCGCTCTTATTTTTCATAGCAGATGTGATGACCCACGAAAACACCCATTTTTCAAGAGCATTAATTTCCATCTCCTGGAGGCGCGGCGTTTGGAGCCCCCATGGATGCCCAAGCCCAACGTGGTGTACGCCAAAGACACGAACAGCTTCAACGACACCTCGGAAGTCGGAGACATTGAACTGGATGCCAAGGATGAAAACTTTTTCAAGGAATTCAGCACAGGCGCAGTCACGGTCTCTTGGCAGAAGGAGATGATTGACAGCGGGTTGTTTGATGAGCTCAACAGGGCAGAAAAGAACGGCCATGAGCGAGCAATGGCCTGGAAATCAAAGATGTGTGTCATTTTGTAAGCATCGCTTCTAATCTACATTCGGGATAAGAAGGGGCGTCCCACCAAAATCTGGGCCCGCATAATTAATCATCAAAAAGTGCTCCCCTTTGATGGCGGGGGGCGCTGAGCGATATGTTGTTGGTGACACATATTATCGTAAACGAAAAATCTATTCAATAACATTACGATGTTACATTACTAATTTCCAACTTTATCGACGGGGATGGTGGCGACTGATATTGAACTACTTGAAATTTTTCTACAACTATTGTTTCGACCAGGATTGGGTGGGTGCGGGTTGGGGAGGGGCGGGGGAGTGTTCCTGGGGCCTCCAGAAAGTCTTCTCATTTCCCTCTCAAGATCGACACCCATGGGGATAAGCAATGCAACCCTGGAATACTTGAAATGATGGTGCTGGTTTTAAATAGAATCATGACACAATAAATCTGACTACCTCGAATAATAAGATTGCGATGCATTCTCATTTGATTGACAGTTTGATAGCACTTTCAATCAATATTGGGCCAGTAGATTAAAAACGAATGTAATTATTATCACTTCTGGTAGATGCATTTTTACCGACATCTTAGAAGCTGTCCTGTTTTGTTTACAGAGGAAAAGTGCGCTTCTGCAGCACTGCTGGAGTAACTGCACTTTGGCCGGAGTTCAAGTCGAAACATGCTGTAGTCCCCAACCTTTTTTGCCCCACGGACCGGTTAAAGTCAGACAATATTTTCAGGGACCGGCATTTAAGGTGTGGCGAATTAATACAACAAAATAATATGGTATGAGCTGCATGAAAACTGTGGTGTTTTCGAAATATAATAATAAACACAAGTAGCGTCTAATCTGGTCGCAACACTCTTATCGCTCTGGTAATGTTTAATGCCTTCAAAATACGATACAACACAAATTCAAAGTGCATGAAAATGACGACTCACCACAGCCCCGAGCTTGATTTTCTGCAATCAGACAGTCCCATCTCGGGGTAATAGGAGACAATGACACCTCAAGTGTGTGGTTTATGTCCAGTCTACTTCGTAATTTTGTTTTAGTCGCCGTTGCTGCAGAAACTCCCCACTTCACACAGGTAGGATGTCGGAAATAGCAACAGTGATATTGGGGCGATCTCCGAGTATTCAGCCATAACTTTGA